TCTTATCTTATCAGTTCAGTAGGATAGATTAGTAGGGAGTCTTCCTAATTAGCAAGGAGTCTTCCTAAAATTAGGACTCTTATCTCTTGTAATCTCCTATTTAAGGAGCTGAGAATATTGAATAAAGGCATCGAAAATTTCAGTGAAGAAGAGAGTAAGGAGAGTTAGGTGATCTCTTGGACAAATCACCATTAGGGCGGCCAAGATAGGTTCATCAAGAGCAGGGAAGAACAAGGGAAAACAGGAGGTTTTCCCCGTGGACCGACCTGTGATGAGATCCTATTCGCGGGCCCATAACACATGTGACCATTAGCCTGATTATTTCTTGAATGAGAGAAAGAAGGAAAAGGCATCATTAGAATCATTTTACTCCTTCAAAAGTAGATTGCAAAAATAATGTGGAGCTAGAGAAATGATTTGCTTTTCTTCCCTTCGGATGGAAAATGTCAATTGATACATTAAACTTTGTGTCAGTAATCAAATTTTGTTGTTTAACTTTCTTTTCTTTTTATTTACTCACTAGGTGGTCACTAGAAGAGAATCAGATATTTACTTGAATGAAGAGTCTGCTTCCTGGGTCTCAGGTCCATTAATGACCTGTGGTTTAACTTGATTAATTTAATTAGAACCCAACAGGATTTGTTTACAGTTTCCTGCCCTAGGAAAATCTCAGCCACAGTGCCACACACCAAGTTAAACTCCCTTTCTCAAACACTAGTTGTCATGTTCTCTAAGATAAAAGAAAGCATGTAATTTAGATCACAATGAAGAGATTAAAAACAAGAAGTTGTAAAACCAGTGAAGAAATATCTTCTTGTATTGGGAAACTTTACCATCATATCTTTGTAATGCCTCTCCAGAATTTCACAGTTTTCCACAAGTTCCTTGTAAGCTTCAGGCATGTATTTTTTCATGGTGTCTAGGTCCTGTGGTGTTCTAATTCCAGCAACAACATCCTCTCCCTGTTTAAATACAAGTTAATTATCAAATGACTCAACAAAATTATCTAATTAGAACAGATTCTCCACACATATAATAACAAAATTAAGATAGAAGTAGGATTTGTGCACCTGAGCATTGACAAGAAACTCTCCATAGAGCTTATTTTCTCCAGTGCTTGGGTTCCTAGTGAAAAGAACACCTGTTCCAGAAGTACTCCCCATGTTTCCAAAAACCATACATTGAATATTAACAGCAGTCCCCTTCAACCCAGTTATTTTGTTGATGCTCCTATACTTGATAGCCCTTGCACTATCCCAGGAGTCAAAGACTGCTTTGACAGCCAACTCTAACTGCTTCTTTGGATCTGCAGAAATATGTAAGCAAAATATAAGTGTTTGGGATACATCCTTGATGGAAATAACAGAAATCCTGTCACTTAGATAAATTGTTCAGGCAAACTGAGATCCTACTAATAATCCCAGAACAGACAAGGCTTATTTAAGTTTACATGGAGAGTCGGTGTACCTGAAGGAAATTCTTCACCCCTGGCTGCAACATAGACTTGCTTGTATTGTGCTACAAGCTCTTTAAGATCAGCAGCTGTAAGGTCAGTATCAAGATCCACTCCTTTTTCATCCTTCAGCCTCTCTAACTTTTCCTCAAATAATGAATGTGAGATGCCCATGACCTCCAAGCATTAAAAATAAATCAGAAGCTTTAAATAGAAGGTCACAAAATGTAAAGCATTGAATTAAGGTTCATAAGAACAAGAACAAGCATTATCACATGCACATCAGATGAAGTTTTTAGATTGTGGTTTTTTGGCTCAGTTTGGCAGGAGTACAAATACAATTATGTAGAGTGCAAAAACTTGTATTCTATATTATTTTGTATGTATTTGTACTGTACATATTTGTATTTGTACTCTTTCCTAATTGAGCCTTTTATTGCATTTCGAAGTACAAATTTGCAACCAAAATCAAGGTTTTAAAACCGTGATTATTGACCTGGATGGATGGTTAGACATTCGGCCCAGATATTGGTCAGGGTACAGGTTCCGTTTCAGCCCCAAACTGTTTTTCACCAAAAACAGTTAAATTGGTCAGTGACCCGCTGACCCTGGAGGTTGAGCCGTTGACCCATTCTTCGATCCACTCAACCCGAACAACGGTTTTGGGCTATTTTTCTATTTTAATTTAATTTTGTATCGGAGGCTGATCCATTCGATGTGGACTGTCAACCGCTGGCCAAACGGTTCCGGTTCCAGGTCGGTTCTTAAAATATTGACCAAAATGGAGTCATTTTGGTTGCTAGGCAAAGATATAAATGAGCTCATTTCAGAACTGAATTCATTTTCAATTTTGGCTTCAACAAAGAATTCATTTGATCATTTCCATTTTTTTTCAGAACTGCAGAGAGAGAGAGAGAGAGAGAGTTATAATAGTGTGAACATACATTAATTATAATTCTAAAATGTGATTTGAGTGAAATGTTGATTGAGAATGTGTATCACACATGAGAAACTACTTACAACGTCTCCGAACATATCCAGAAAACGTCTATAGGAGTCATATGCAAAGCGGTCTCCACTCTTTGCAGCCAAACCAGCAACCACCTCATCGTTGAGACCAAGATTAAGGACAGTATCCATCATGCCCGGCATGGATATCTACATGAACATGAACAAATTCATTTACAGCCATGCATCATCTATTTTTATGATTTATTAGATACACGTGGCGTGGCAAGAGGGACATGTGGGGCCAACCACATTGCCACGTGGAAGCTTCTGAACTAAAGGGGACCCAAGTAAGAATAGAGACAGGACAGGATGAGAAGTTTACCGCAGCCCCAGACCGTACAGAGAGGAGGAGTGGCTTAGAAGGGTCACCTAGGAAAGCATCCATTTGTTTCTCGACATTGCCCAAAGCATTTAAGATGTCCTCCCACAGTCCATCTGGCAATTTCTTTCCAATCTGTTGGTATTCTTGGCATGCCTCTGTTGATATCGTGAGCCCCGGCGGTACTGACAACCCAATGCTTGCCATCTCAGCAAGATTTGCCCCTTTCCCACCTAACTGCAATTCAACAACACACAACAATTTTTATGCTTTTGTAAATTATAATCACAAGCTGCACTTACCAATACAATATCGGTATTGCATGTGATATGGGCTTTAAATTAGGCCCGAACCCAACCCAATACACACCCTGGGCTTAAATTGCACGGTCCCGGGCCGTTTAATGAGTACTGACTTCAGGATCCACACAGACCCAAAGTACTGAAGACTAAAGACTAAAGACTAAAGAATGGGCCCCATTCCAAAGGCAAGCAAAGAATTAGAATGTTTCCTCATGCTCACTATAAATCAAGAAACGTGGGGCCCTGTTGAAAAGATCGATGATGATAATAAAAGTTAAAAAAACACGAAGCACAGTGATTGGCTGGTTATTCTGTACGTCCAAACAAGAAAATTGGGTCGGGACTTGTCACTCCTCAATAAACAAAAACAAAGCTTTTAATATTTAATTTACATAATTAATTAACCTGCGAATTCTCACATCGATCTGATGTTACATCTCACCGTGTATTGAGAACATCTCCCCCTCAATAATAAAAATAAAAAGTAAGGAGATGTTTTCAATGTGCGACTGAAACATTGTCATGCGGTTGGTTTGAAAAACACTCTGTGACTGTGAGTAGCACATCCAGACTATAGTTTGTAATTTAGTATAGTGGCTTGTCGTCGGATGTGACTAGAATGAAGGGCATTTGTTGAATATATCATATATTATAAACTAGAACCGTGTACTCTGAATTTCTTGTTTGGACAAAATTTCAGAAAACCTCTGAAAAAGAAAGCTTGTCCATATATAGCCTATATATATACTCTATAGTCCATTGCTAGGAACCGGCTAAAGTTGAGACTAGTTGATAGGCATGGACCTCAGCAGTCAGCACTGGCTAAGAAGCATTACCATTCATTAATGCATTTCCTTGTTTCTGGATGATTTTTTAGTTTTTTCTTTTATCAAAACCTTCCCATTGCATTCTCATTGACCAGTATCCAAATCATAAAACCAAATCCTTCATGCAAACTGCATGTATTCTGAAAATTAAGTAATCAAGTTAAATAAGAAATATTTGGATATGTATATATGGCTGCTCACCAAATCCTTCATGCCCTTGTTTCCTTCACTCCTTCCTTTGCCAAAAATGAACACCCTCTGTGTGCAAGTGCAACAATAACTAATCAATGAGAGAAACCCAAACGCACAGCAGACAGACGTAAACACATGCAGAATAGAAGAATAGCAGATGAAATTGAGGAATAAGGAAGAAAAACGCTGTATATTAACGCTACAACGAGCAGGCTGCGGGTAACGGCAATATGAATATTGAGTATTACCTTCATCTTCATTGTTTCTTGCGTCGTTGCAGCAAAGTTTAACTCTCTACAGCTTTCTCGTTTTCTCTGATTCTCTTGAAGCTGCCGGCCTTATATAAGTAGTGAGCAAGGCAAAATTTGGTGGACTACATGACAAATATAGCCCGCAAGTGGACATTAATACATGCACATATCCTGGTGACGTGTCTTTCTGCGGCGTTCGGACAACTGATACAGTGATACTCTCTCTTAAAGAGAGATGATCAAGTGGAGCTATAACCTACCCATGCCAGTACCCACTACTTCACCTTCACGTGTGGTGTGAATCATCGATATTCAGCAATCCTCCCTCTTGGCCTTGTAAAATAATAATAGTCATCGATATTCCACCCGTTGAGCGGCAAACACGAACCCTCACGTGTGACCGACCAACACCGTATCGCCAAATGACACCATAGCTTACGTTATGAGTCTGGATGTCCGATTGTCCATTGTCCATGGCTACAACAAGATTCCATCCCACGTGGGGTCCAACCATTAAACAAAAAATCTAATTTGAAAAGACGGATAGACACGTAATCCGATTGACACGTCATCACCCTAATCCTATTGTTTTATATGTGGCCCCTCACATACTTGTCAACATCTTCCTATTCGGCGACAGATAAGCATAAGGTCCATTCCTCCTTATTTATATCATCGGCTCCCTATGGACGAACTATGGAGATCGGCTTTCTATTGCCGGCTCGCTCCAGTCTCCAGCCTCCAGCCTCCAGCCTCCAGCCTCCAGCCTCCAGCACAGGAATCAATCACCCTTCACCGGTTTAGGATGTGTTTGTCCTGAGCCGACCGAGTACTACGAGCCCAAGCCGGAGGGCGGAGAAAGCTAAGAGAGAAACCACTTTCTGTGGGCGGCATGGCATATCTGATTTATCTGATCTGTGTGCTTGGTGGTTTTAATTAGGAATCGCAGCGGGGTGAATTCAGGTCGGGGCATTCCTCCTCATTTTCACCCGTTGGGTTTAGGGCAGAGAGGGGAAAAAATTTTGAATTTTTTTGTGCTGAGGCAATTATCTAAAAATATATATTATAAATTATAAGATATTTTTTAGAATAAGATTATGAGAATTTGGGGTATTTTTAGGATAAAATTATAAAATTTTAGGATATTTTAAAAACAAGATTGTGAAATTATAGGCTTTTAGGAATTTAAAGAAAACTGAATAGCATTTTAGAAGTTGGTAATAAACCTAAAGGTATTTTAATTTTGTTTGGAAAATCTGCCTATTGGGGAATTAATTATATGCCAACCCCATCCAAACTTCATTCTTGATTTGGGGAAAAAATGTTTTTCCTTTCCCCACCCGTCCCTGTTACGATGTTACGATGGGAGAAAACCCGTCTCATTTGGTGCGAGGCGGGCTCCGGTATACACAGACGAGCAAACGTAACTTTGACATTGATTGATTTTGTCTTCCTTTCTTTCTTTTTGTTTTGGGTCATGAAGGATATAGATTTTGCCCCAAATCGATCTCAAGCCAATGCCAATGCTAAATGATGTGGCTGGAGAACACAGACTCTTACTTGTGTCTATCCCCTTGCTTTGAGCATTGATTGGGACTCACAATCAGAATAAGCCATTATCAACTGATCCACACAAGGGAAGAGACTGTACTGTAGTCTCCTAGTTTGGTTGGACGTACTGATTCTTTCTTCGAACAAGTGGTAAGTTACAAATCAGAGATGGCCTAAACCCAGTCTAAAGGGGTTTACCCTACCAAAATAAAGCTCGCTCCAACAATGATATATGGATATAATATGGATAGGGGTAGAGTATCCCCAAACTGATAGATAGTTTTGATTGGCCATGACAGATTTCTTACGCGGCAACAATATAATAGATGGGTCGTTGATTCTTACATAAACTTATTTGAATTTTTTTAATGAAAGAAATATCTTTCTTATTATTATTTTTTATATTCAATGCATCAATTTATGTATTTTTTAAAGTAATGTAATATCTAAAATCATGTATAGAATAAAGGGTCCGTCTGGACACTTTGAAGTTACGGGCCGGGTGGATTCAGTGAAACATGAGTCAAGCAAGAGTCAAGGAATTTACTAGATTCCATCACCACTCTGACTCGAGGTGTCACGTTAAAATTTAAACTATTACTATCATAATACACACACATATTATAATATATATATATATATATTATTTTATATTTAATTTATATTATTTTATTTTTTTATTTATAAAAAATTTCAAATTTATAATTTGAGATTAAAAAAGGGTTTTTTTTTCATGAAAATAGCAGAACAAGGCACCTATGGCCCTTGGGATGCATAGTTCTCTAAAAATTACCCAAAATAAAAAAAAAACAACTAAACATTGGAGTGTAAAGTTATGGCTTCCAAAAGTTTGTATGCATTGCATATACAACCCGATCACCGGGTCGAACGGTTCTTGACCATATGGTGGGTCTTGAGTGAATCAAACCTGGAATCCAGAATCCTAGTTGGATAATGGTTCAAACAATTCAACCGGCTGAATCAATGACGGGTTGAAAACATTATGGCAAATGGAGTCATGAACTCAACTCTACACTCAACAAACCATGTCTACTACACTCTGCACTAGGGCCTTGTTGACATCCTCCTTTAGCCTAAAACTGTTTATTACAAGGTTTGGTTAATTTTATTATTTGGATAATAATAATAATAATAATAATAATAATAATAATAATAATAATAATTGGGCACCATTCTAGGTTGATAAAATAAACATAAATTATAATAACGAAGGATCAACAACAAAAATGGAAATAAAAAATAAATTATCAAGCTTGAATACATCCAAATGGGCAAATGACAAACAAACCATGACAAAATTGTAAAAGTGGAGATGTTGTTTTATGGAGATTAGATTAAATGTGTGCCTCTTTATAAAAATCGGGATGTGCCCAAATCACTTTTCTATTTTATTCTTTTTGTGAAGAGAATATTGGGGAGGCTAGTGTCACTTCAACCTCTTTTGTTCTTTTACAATATAATAATAAATCCTTTTTTATTGAAGATGACAGAATGGATGACAAAAGTGGTCTGCCCAAGGAGTTTGTTTATATGTATATATGTGTTTTATATAATTAGTATGGGTATATATATATATATATATGCTTTTTAAATTTTAATATCTAATAACGTAAAGAATATTAATTCTTAGATGTATCTGCTAAGGTGAAGTTAGGCCTGACTTTAACTTGTTTCTTAAGTGAATTTTCATATTGGGCTGGACCAAGGTTCAAAGTATCGATACAGGCCAATACACAAGTACTGATACAGGCGGTACATTTTTTAGGTTTTATTTATTTTTTATTTTTTAAAACCGGTTCAGAGGGATTGGTTTAAGACCCAATTATCCTCTGAACCAGTGCCTGACCCGATACAACTCTTGAAGGGATGTATTAAGAAGTCATCGGCACGATGTATATTGATTAATACGGGCCAATATATATCGATACTTTAAACCTTAGGCTAGACCCATCAAAATCAAAATTAAATAAAAAAAGACCAAAACTCACGTTTAAGAAGAAGTACAAAGCCAACAACCAGGAGACATAACACATTGTGTTTATTATAGTTGATGTATTAATTATATACAAAAGCTGCATTACTCGGTTGTGGGATGCATGCTAGAGTTGAGAGACGTGTATGTGTGTCGTGTGGGTAACATTAATACATTATTTAGAGTTGCCTTCAATGTATAGAGATTATAAACTAAAGCAAGTGACATATTACTTGCTAATAATAGAACAAGTGGATTGTAGAGAAGTATATAATAGAGATTTTTTAATGGTTTCTCCTTTTTTTCTGTTAAACCAAAGATAACCAGTTGTAGTGGAACATTTTGTTTTTATTGAATATATTAGTTAAAATTAATTGCTATATATGATATGTTTCCACTTCAACATTTTTACGTGCATCCATATTTTTCTTTACATAATCAATAGTTTTAAATTTCTAAATAAAAGAATTATGACAGCTTAATTATTTGGTGTATGTGTTGACCAACTTGGCCTCAAGAGTCAATTGGGTAGATGGGGGCTTTGGCCCAGTTTTGGAACTACAAATAATGAGTTTATTCTAGTTTTGATAAATACGTTATACATATTTTCTTTTTTTTTTAGTTTCATGGGGATACACAATACGGGGTTAGACTCTAAACCATCTTAGTCCAATTACAAATGTTATAAGATTCTTTTTGCTTTATTAAATTCCATGTATTGCAAAGGTCTATTAATATACATATGGGCTTGACTATGATATGGAAAAGATATGATATCTAAAAAATAATTATCAATAAACTGTTTGGAATCATAAACGTGGTAGTAAATAAGGTATTATTTATCAAAATTCATGGGTTGCTTTTGATTGGTCAAAATTCTTTCTATACCATGACAAGTATAAGGACACAGGTTCAGGTCTAAAAGAAGTCACTTTGCCAAAAAGGAAAAAAACCAAAGATTAAAACCATATCCATTTTACCCCTTTCAATATCCCAAATAGCTCAGACCAAGTAATCAATATATATATATATATATAGTTGGGTTTGGAATGGTGACGTGGCTCAATGAGAGTGGTGGGAAGGGGAAGGAGAGGAAGTCTAAGAGAGTGCAGGGTGGGGGTAATGGAGCAAGGAGAGAAATGTTGACATGGACTGTCAATGGGTCATAACCTTGATGACACAATGGGTAAAAGAGTCACATGCACGAAGCTTTCTAGCATTTGTGGCATTTTAAACTAAAGGATATGGGGAAAAGTGAAAATAATAGCTACTCCAAATAGACCTAGCAAAAAGTTGATCCAATTTGTGAACCCAACCCAACCTAACCCATAAAAACAGGGTTAGAGTCTCATATTTAACTACCTGAATATGATAATGATCCAACTTGTAAAAACTGAGTTGAGTTGAGTTGGATCATGGGCCAACCCGCTGACCCGATTGTCAGGTCTAATTGGCACTATTTATGTATTGTTAGAAGTTTCCACTCTTTAATCTTTACTATTTAGTCTTTATTCTTTATCGTTTACTCTTTGAATTGTTGAATGTTCAAGTTTTT